TAAAAGTTGCACGTTGTTAGTCGCCGGTAAATTGGGCAATCAAACAATTCAACGCGACTGACTCACGAGAAACTGACAATTGCGTAAATTGGGACCGGCGCTTCACTATCGCACTGACGCCATCGCTAATTTGATAAAAGCGACGTTTCGGACATCACGGATATCGTCAATTTTCGAATTGAGATAACTGCCTCGCTCGCGTTAGCGTCACGTGCTGCAGGTCGTCGTGATTTCCAAAATTTGCGTGCGTCACCGCAATTACAAGGAACACCTGCGGAAATGAGTACCAACTCCCTACTCGTAGTGAGAAACGCTTTATCATCGATCTAATATACCTACCTCGAATTCGATCCTAAGCGATCAGCAGTGAAATACAGCAAAAGGGTTATGTCGAACTCGCCTTCGGTTCGTTCGTTTGCCTCCAAATCTTGCCCTTAGTGGATCTTTATGAGTATTACACATTTCAATCTTAATAATTATATAGCGAAGTTTTTTTTTTCATGCTGCTCTCCTGATACAAATTTCCTTCCACAAAGTGACCTGTGTCAAGACTACATAAACGCAAAAAGTTCAATGCTCATTCATTTCTGTCAGACCTAGGTACTAAAAATTATCAGGATTGCAGAACCGTAAAATGTAAGAGGGTGTCATTGTCAGTGTTAACATTTTTATGTTATGTTCACCTTCTACAACTGAAAACCTTCGGAAAACCTATTGTCAGGTAAAGGCAAATCTTCTACAAGTTATCAAAATCAGGAACACAGAACTGCAAGAAGATCAAAATTAATTGTGATTGTGAATTTCTTAAAAGGTAGGTACTGTATTAGTATCTCAGACATGCAAAAGAATGTAACATTAAAATTTCTCACTTATACTGTTCTCCTGACAGACTTCCATCTACATAGGCAGTGGAAGATCAGGAACACAAATGCAAAAAGATTCAAAATTGATCCTTAGACGTACTGAGGACCTCATAAACGTAAGAGGATGTAAAATTCATTGTACGGCAATAGTTTTCTCCCCTAATGCAAAGTCCATGTCTCAATTTGTGAATACTAGGGTTTGAGAAGCTCAAGATCGTTTAAAACTGATGGTCGGACACATGTTCATGCCTTCTGACCTCCTGGCACCAAGTCTATTTTTTGAAAATGAATGTATTAAAACCACAAAATCGATAAAAGGTGTAAAATTCCTCCTCAGATGTTTCACTAAAATGAATGTCTCATTAAAATTACTATAAAAGGATCGCAGAAACGTGAGAAACTCGGGCAACCCCTTACTTATTCTGTTCCCCTGATACAAACTCTTCTTAGGAAATTTGCAATCAGGAGCGCAGAATGCTACACTTTCTTATAATTTATCTTAAGAATGATTTCGATGAACCAGATTCACAAAAAAAACCGGAGACCATTTTCTCATAACCAAAAAGGAGGCAAAAGTCATTGTCAGAGACAACATCTTGTTTATTTTGCTCTCCTGATACAAAACACCTTCTGCCAGTAACTTACAACCCCGAAAGTGTAAAATGCTGTCAAAATTCATTACCCGACATCGTGCCATTTATTTTGATCTGCTGAAACCTCCTCCTCAGGATTACAGAAACGCAAGATCGTTTAAAATTTGTTGTCTCAAGAGTTATGTTTCCCTGGTATCAATTTATCTAATACGAATTATTGTAAAATTTCCTCAGAAACTAGTGCGGTTTTTAAGTTCCATTTCGAGCGATTTTCGATTGGAAGGTGAAACGTAAATTTGGGGAGGTCATTTTGTCCCAAATTTAGTGACTTCTATTGAAAATTATGTGATCCAACTTTCCTTAAGGATCTTTTAGATTAATAGACTCTTAATGCATGTGTAACATCTTTTTAAGAGCTTCTAAAAGTCTCCAAGAATCTTTTAGTCTTCTTTCAGGGTTGTAGCGAATATTCTAAAATATAGAGCTCCATCCGGGCGCCATCAGGTCGCCACTATGGCGTCGTAAAGTCGATAAATGATTAGTCACCGGCGGATGTGACGAAGTGAAGTGAAAAATGAACATGTGCGGTGTTGCGATAAATAATAATTGCCTTTTATAAATAAATTATCTAAGGGCTCTTACAGATACATAATTAATTATTATGGAAATAAATAAATCACAAAACTTTATAAGTCTGTAAGAGTATCTGATAAACCAAAGTGTCTCCAGGTGCATTTGAGAGTCTTTCAGATTAGGCGTCCTTTACGAATGCTGCCATAGTGGTAATGATGATACTAGGGAAATGGTCAGTGCATTCTCTTTTTACTGGGAGGTATTCCATACCCTCTCGGACCCCCCGGTCTTACATTCTTCCCCAAAACCGTCTGCCAGACCACTCTGATTCCAGTTTTTGGTAAAACGTTAGCGAAACTATCACCGGGGGGTTTGGAATACCCCCCAGCACACGTTGACTTTATTTATATGAGTACACGAATGATTCCATAGTGGTAATGATGATAGTAGGGAAAGGGTCAGTGCATTTTCCTTTTACTGGGAGGTATTCCATACCCTCTCGGACCCCCCGGTCTTACATTCTTCCCCAAAACCGTCTGCCAGACCACTCTGATTCCAGTTTTTGGTAAAACGTTAGCGAAACTATCACCGGGGGGTTTGGAATACCCCCCAGCACACGTTGACTTTATTTATATGAGTACACGAATGATTCCATAGTGGTAATGATGCTAGTAGGGAAAGGGTCAGTGCATTTTCCTTTTAGTGGGGGTATTCCATACCCCCTCGGACCCCCCGGTCTTACTTTCTTCCCCAAAACCGTCTGCCAGACCACTCTGATTCCAGTTTTCGGTAAAACGTTATCGAAACTATCTTTGGGGGGTATGGAATACCCCCCAGCACACGTTGACTTTATTTATATGAGTCACGAATGATTCCATAGTGGTAATGATGCTAGTAGGGAAAGGGTCAGTGCATTTTCCTTTTACTGGGAGGTATTCCATACCCCCTCGGACCCCCCGGTCTTACTTTCTTCCCCAAAACCGTCTGCCAGACCACTCTGATTCCAGTTTTCGGTAAAACGTTATCGAAACTATCTTTGGGGGGTATGGAATACCCCCCAGCACACGTTGACTTTATTTATATGAGTACACGAATGATTCCATAGTGGTAATGATGCTAGTAGGGAAAGGGTCAGTGCATTTTCCTTTTAGTGGGAGGTATTCCATACCCCCTCGGACCCCCCGGTCTTACTTTCTTCCCCAAAACCGTCTGCCAGACCACTCTGATTCCAGTTTTCGGTAAAACGTTATCGAAACTATCTTTGGGGGGGTATGGAATACCCCCCAGCACACGTTGACTTTATTTATATGAGTACACGAATGCTGCCATAGTGGTAATGATGATAGTAGGGAAAGGGTCAGTGCATTTTCCTTTTACTGGGAGGTATTCCATACCCCCTCGGACCCCCCCCGGTCTTACTTTCTTCCCCAAAACCGTCTGCCAGACCACTCTGATTCCAGTTTTCGGTAAAACGTTATCGAAACTATCTCTGGGGGGTATGGAATACCCCCCAGCACACGTTGACTCTATTTATATGAGTTCACGAATGATTCCATAGTGGTAATGATGATAGTAGGGAAAGGGTCAGTGCATTTTCCTTTTACTGGGAGGTATTCCATACTCCCTCGGACCCACCGGTCTTACTTTCTTCCCCAAAACCGTCTGCCAGACCACTCTGATTCCAGTTTTCGGTAAAACGTTATCGAAACTATCTTTGGTCCATACCCCCCAGCACACGTTGACTTTATTTATATGAGTACACGAATGCTGCCATAGTGGTAATGATGATACTAGGGAAATGGTCAGTGCATTTTCCTTTTACTGGGAGGTATTCCATACCACCTCGGACCCCCGGTCTTACCTTTCTTACCCAAACCGTTCTGCCAGGACCACTCTGATTCCAGTTTCGGTAAAACGCTGTAGAAAGTACCATCGGGGTGGTCTGGGCGGGTATGGAATACCGCCCCAGCAGCACGTTGACTTTATTTATTATGGTTATACGAAGCTGCCATTAGTGGTAATGATGATACTAGGGAAATTGGTCAATCATTTCCTTTTACTGGAAGGTCGATTCCATACCCCTCGACCCCCCGGTCTCTACTTTTCTGACCCAAACACCGTCCTGCCGGACCCACTCTGATTCCAGTTTTTCGGTAAAACGCTGTAGAACAGTTACCATCGGGTGGTCTGGGGGGTTAATGATATACCCCAGCACACGTTGACCTTTATTTATATGAGTATACGAATGCCTGCCAATAGTTGGTAATGATGATACTAGGGAATTATGGTCAAGCATTTTCCTATTACTGGCGGGTATTACCATACTTCCCTCGGAATGGCCCCTCCGGTCTTACATTTCTTCCCAAAACCGCTCTGGCACCAGGACCACTCTGATTACAGTCTTCGGTAAAACGCTGTAGAAAGTAACCCTGGCGCGGGCGTTATACTAGGTAGTGACTATCATTGCATTTTCCTTTTCTCTGGGGAAATATTCCATACCTTCCAGACCTTGAGATAATTCATATACTCATATAAAGTATTTGTGTGCTGGGTTTCTTTTGAGGGAGCCGGTGGGCTTAGGGAGTCTTAAGCCTTTAACAGGCCTGTCGTTTTTGAACCCAGTCCGGCCCTGAGTATGGGGAGGACGGAAGATTCAAGAACATTTTTCTATTCATTTTGGTTTATTTATGATCCGCCGTCTGTCTGTCTGTCGGTGCCTCGGAGTGAAAAAATTGTTGCTCTAAGGTCGGTACACGTTTAGAATTCAAGTTAGGACAAAAGTTCAGTTTGCGTCAACCAATTTCCCGAATTCACTTTTATCGAGCCGATTTCGTCCAAATTAAAATACCGAAAGTGATTAGACAAATAATGCGTCCACCTCTCCGCGGTCTCGTCGCCGACGCTCGCTCGCGTTCGTCTCCGATCGTCGTTTTCTATTGGCACGCTGCTCGACGATCGCAGTCTAAGCGTGAAAGTGCAACGCGAGGTGTGTGTCTCTCCGCCCTCGCCGCCGCGTCAAACCCGATCCGCCACTTTTCTTCGAGACTTTCGCCAAAAACCGGCCGCGACGCGCACTTGTGATTATTTTTTTTTTGTGACGATGCAGTGAGGATTATGTGATTCTGTTCGGTTTTTTCTCTGTGATAGAAAAGATGAGAAAGGATGATTTTCGATCGCTGGTAGACACCTAAAAGCCCACGTCGATGTTTTCCAGATCTATTTCATGTAGGTATTAATTCGTGGGTGTCCCCGAATAATAATAATATTATTATTATTATCATTCCTTCTACTACCAGTCGCTCTGGTGGTCCTTCACCCCCCGCGAGTTTTTTGACCGCGCACTTACGTACCAGCTGATTAAAAGGGAAATTGTTGCCATTCAAAATGTACCGACGAAAAAAAAACTGTAAACATTACACAATATTACAAATTTAAATTGTTGAACGGCTGCCAATGAAATTGATCCAAAATTAAAAATAGCCCCTCGCCTCCCCAAAAACAATTGATTAATTTATGACCCATATTCCCCTTTGATCCTTCCATCCTTTACCTGAACTTCTGACGGCTCTTCTTGCGACGCGCATCAGTCACTCTTTAATCCTGCTCCGAAAGAGTCATTGTTTAGGTATTAGGGAGGGTAGAATTTATAACTTTTTACAAGTATCGCCGCCACCGCAGTCGTAATCGAATTTTTCAAAAGTCGTCCTTTATCTCCGAAACTTGTTCCAAGCCGCAAGTCTGGCCACGTAATTAGGCATCTAAAACCTGCCGCCCGTTTCAAGTGATTATTACGGCAAATACAATGCCAACAAATAGAAGGGAAATAACGGTCCCCACATTTCAAATTCGGGCGGCTTGGGAAAGAAATCGTGTTTCTTTTCACCCTCTAATTTTTAAGTTCAAAAAACTCTCAAGACTGAATTAAAAAAAATCGTCATGCAATTTTGAAAATTGGGGCTACAATTTTCGACACGTGAGCGAAGTTTATGTCGAAATTACCTCCCCCAAATTTACTTTTTCACCCTCCAATTTTAATTTTCGAAAATAGCTCTAAATTGAACTTAAAAACCGCACACTTTCCCGTTCATTTCTAAAATTTTGAAAAATGTCGGAAGTTGGGCCACAATTTCCGGCACGTGAGCGAAGTTTATGTCAAAATGACCTCCCCCAATTTACTTTTGCACCCTCCAATTTAATTTTTGAAAGTCGCTAGAAATGCAATTTAAAAACCGCACACGTTCCCGTTCATTTTTAAAACTTTGAAAAATGTCGGAAATTGGGCCACAATTTCCGGCACGTGAGCGAAGTTTATGTCGAAATGACCTCCCCCAATTTACTTTTGCACCCTCCAATTTTAATTTTTGAAAGGCGCTAGAAATTGCATTTAAAAACCGCACACTTTCCCGTTCATTTCTAAAACTTTGAAAAATGTCGGAAGTTGGGTCACAATTTCCGGCACGTGAGCGAAGCTTATGTCGAAATGACCTCCCCCAATTTACTTTTGCACCCTCCAATTTTAATTTTTGAAAGTCGCTAGAAATTGCATTTAAAAACCGCACACTTTCCCGTTCATTTCTAAAACTTTGAAAAATGTCGGAAGTTGGGCCACAATTTCCGGCACGTGAGCGAAGTTTATGTCGAAATGACCTCCCCCAAATTTACGTTTCACCCTCCAATTTTAATTTTCGAAAATAGCTCTAAATTGAACTTAAAAACCGCACACTTTCCCGTTCATTTCTAAAATTTTGAAAAATGTCGGAAGTTGGGCCACAATTTGCGACTCGTGAGCGAAGTTTATGTCGAAGTGACCTCCCCCAATTTACTTTTTCACCCTCCAATTTTAATTTTCGAAAATAGCTCTAATTTGAACTTAAAAACCGCACGCTTTCCCGTTCATTTCTAAAATTTTGAAAAATGTCGGAAGTTGGGCCACAATTTGCGACCCGTGAGCGAAGTTTATGTCGAAATGACCTCCCCCAATTTACTTTTGCACCCTCCAATTTTAATTTTCGAAAATAGCTCTAAATTGAACTTAAAAACCGCACACTTTCCCGTTCATTTCTAAAATTTTGAAAAATGTCGGAAGTCGGGCCACAATTTGCGACTCGTGAGCGAAGTTTATGTCGAAATGACCTCCCCCAATTTACTTTTGCACCCTCCAATTTTAATTTTTGAAAGGCGCTAGAAATTGCATTTAAAAACCGCACACTTTCCCGTTCATTTCTAAAAATTTGAAAAATGTCTGAAGTTGGGCCACAATTTGCAATCCGTGAGCGAAGTTTATGTCAAAATGACCTCCCCCAATTTACTTTTGCACCCTCCAATTTTAATTTTTGAAAGTCGCTAGAAATTGCATTTGAGCGAAGTTTATGTCAAAATAACCTCCCCCAATTTACTTTTGCACCCTCCAATTTTAATTTTTGAAAGGCGCTAGAAATTGCATTTAAAAACCGCACACTTTCCCGTTCATTTCTAAAACTTTGAAAAATGTCGGAAGTTGGGCCACAATTTGCGACTCGTGAGCGAAGTTTATGTCGAAATGACCTCCCCCAAATTTACTTTTTCACCCTCCAATTTTAATTTTCGAAAATTGCTCTAATTTGAACTTAAAAACCGCACGCTTTCCCGTTCATTTCTAAAACTTTGAAAAATGTCGGAAGTTGGGCCACAATTTGCAATCCGTGAGCGAAGTTTATGTCGAAATGACCTCCCCCAATTTACTTTTTCACCCTCCAATTTTAATTTTCGAAAATAGCTCTAATTTGAACTTAAAAACCGCACACTTTCCCGTTCATTTCTAAAATTTTGAAAAATGTCGGAAGTTGGACCACAATTTGCGACTCGTGAGCGAAGTTTATGTCGAAATGACCTCCCCCAATTTACTTTTTCACCCTCCAATTTTAATTTTCGAAAATAGCTCTAAATTGAACTTAAAAACCGCACACTTTCCCGTTTATTTCTAAAATTTTGAAAAATGTCGGAAGTTGGGCCACAATTTGCAATCCGTGAGCGAAGTTTATGTCAAAATAACCTCCCCCAATTTACTTTTGCACCCTCCAATTTTAATTTTTGAAAGGCGCTAGAAATTGCATTTAAAAACCGCACACTTTCCCGTTCATTTCTAAAACTTTGAAAAATGTCGGAAGTTGGGCCACAATTTGCGACTCGTGAGCGAAGTTTATGTCGAAATGACCTCCCCCAAATTTACTTTTTCACCCTCCAATTTTAATTTTCGAAAATTGCTCTAATTTGAACTTAAAAACCGCACGCTTTCCCGTTCATTTCTAAAACTTTGAAAAATGTCGGAAGTTGGGCCACAATTTGCAATCCGTGAGCGAAGTTTATGTCGAAATGACCTCCCCCAATTTACTTTTTCACCCTCCAATTTTAATTTTCGAAAATAGCTCTAAATTGAACTTAAAAACCGCACACTTTCCCGTTCATTTCTAAAATTTTGAAAAATGTCGGAAGTTGGGCCACAATTTGCGACTCGTGAGCGAAGTTTATGTCGAAATGACCTCCCCCAAATTTACTTTTTCACCCTCCAATTTTAATTTTCGAAAATTGCTCTAATTTGAACTTAAAAACCGCACGCTTTCCCGTTCATTTCTAAAACTTTGAAAAATGTCGGAAGTTGGGCCACAATTTGCAATCCGTGAGCGAAGTTTATGTCGAAATGACCTCCCCCAATTTACTTTTTCACCCTCCAATTTTAATTTTCGAAAATAGCTCTAAATTGAATATATAAACCGCACTGAAGTTTCTGTGGAAATCAATCATTCGTATTAAAGAAATTGATACCAGGGAAACATAACTCTTGAGACAACAAATTTTAAACGAACTTTTCTGTGATCCTGAGGAGGAGGTTTCAGCAGATCAAAATAAATGGCGCGCTGTCTGGTAATGAATTTTGACAGCATCTTACATTTTTGGAGCCGTAAGTCACTTGCAGTAGGTATTTTGTATCAGGAGAGCAAAATAAACAAGATGTTGTCTGACAATGACTTTTACCTCCTTTTTGGTTACGAGAAAACGGTCTCCGGCTTTTTTTTGTGAATCTGGTTCATCAAAATCAGTCTAAGATAAATTGTAAGAAAGTGTAGGATAATTCATTTTTGCGATCTGCGCTCCTGATTGCAAATTTCCTAAGAAGTGTTTGTATCAGGGGAACAGAATAAGTAAGGGGTTGCCTGACTTTCTCACGTTTCTGTGGTTCTTTTATAGTAATTTTAATGAGACATTCATTTTAGTGAAACATCTCAGGAGGAATTTTACACCTTTTATCGATCTTGTGGTTTTAATACATGCATTTTCAAAAAATAGACTTGGTGCCAGGAGGTCAGAAGGCATGAACATGTGTCAGACCATCAGTTTTAAACGATCTTGAGCTTCTCAAACCCTAGTATTCACAAATTGAGACAGGGACTTTGCATTAGGGGAGAAAACTATTGCTGTACAATGAATTTTACATCCTCTTCCGTTTGTGAGATCCTCGGTACGTCTAAGGATCAATTTTGAACCTTTTTGCATTTGTGTTCCTGTTCTTTCACTGCCTATGTAGATGGAAGTTTGTCAGGAGAACAGTATAAGTAAGAAATTTTAATGTTACATTCTTTTGCATGTCTGAGACGCTAATACAGTACCTACCTTTTAAGAAATTCACAATCACAATTAATTTTGCCCTTCTTGCAGTTCTGTGTTCCTGATGTTGATAACTTGTAGAAGATTTGCCTTTACCTGACAATAGGTTTTCGGAAGGTTTTCAGTTGTAGAAGGTGAACAGAACATAAAAATGTTAACACTGGCATTTTACGGTTCTGCAATCCTGATGAATTAATTTTTAGTACCTAGGTCTGACAGAAATGAATGAGCATTGAAGTTTTTGCGTTTATGTAGTCTTGACACGGGTCACTTTGTGGAAGGAAATTTGTATCAGGAGAGCAACATGAAAGAACCCATGATTTACACCTGCTTCCGACTTTGAAATTTCGATACAATTTCAAAGAGAGAAAAATATATCCCGGAAACACGATGGTTGCGAAGGTATCTGAGAAATAATTTTACACCTTCTTGTGTTTCTGTGACCCTGGTACATCGATTTAAGATGTGGCGAACATAATGTGTCAGAATACCTCTGTTTCAAGACCAGTATTCAACAGTCGGTTGCCAATTTGCAGGGGAGACTATACCAGGGTAACATAATAAATCAGATGTAACCAGACACTTTCTGTGGTCCTAATCCGCAATTTGTAAAAAAATAATTCGTAAGTACCAGGAGGAAGAATGCGTGAGGTGCTGCCCGACAATGAATTTTTACACCTTCGTACGCTTCGGGAAGCTACTACAATAATGTTAGAATATAAATTCATATCAGGGAAACATAAATCATGGACAGATCATTCAGAGATGTTGCGTTGTAATCAATTAACCTCATTTTTACTCAGACGTAATACCTGAGAAGGTGTCTATTTTTACATTTAGCATTTCTGTGACATCATGGCATCATTATGTAGGTAAAGGTGAGAATGAATTTTAACCTGCTGGTATTTGTCTTAATATTGACAGTTTGTGTTAAGGAGAATAGAAAGGGATATGTTGTTTAACAATAAATTCTTACATTTCTGGGATCCTGGTACCGTTATCTTTAAGGCCGAAGTTCATAGCAGCCTGAGAAAGTAACTGGCATTGCAAATAAATCAATTTTTGAAAAAAAGGGATTTGGTATCAGGCTGACAAAGCGTGCGAAGGGAAGTTTACATCCTGTTACGTTTCTGGGAATAACTACAATAATTCCTAAGAGATAAATTTGTATCAGGAGGGCAGGTTAATGTAACCTTTATAGATCCTTGTGCTCCTGATACATTGATTTTTAAAAGGGAAATTATTATCATGCTTGCGTTAACACTTCGATGCGGTCCTGGACCTAGTCTTAATACTGGCCTGAAGTATGTATCAGGAGAGCATAATCAGAGAGAAGTTGTTTGAAATTAAATTTTATACTCAATTACGTTTGAAATACAATTTTTATCAGGCGAGCGAACCAATTTTACACCTCCTTGCGTTTCTGTGACCCTGGTATTTCATGTGCACTTCTCCGCAATTAAAACGCCATAAAGGTGCAATAAACATCTCGCGATAGTTTCCGGTAAAGTTGCAAACGTGGAATGGCTTTCGTTTCGTGGAAAACAAATTCCCCCCCCCCCCCCCCCCTTCTGTAAAAGGAAGATTCGATCCCTTTGCTACAATCATCATTATCATCATGAGATAATTCGTGTGCCGCTGGGTGCATTCTTTGAGAGAGTTACAAGGAGTTGAATTTATTTTTCGAAATTTCGAAAATCGCATGAAATGGAATTTCAAAATTCAAAATTTCAAAATGTTGCGATTCGATTCTTAAAATTTTGGAACAGCTCGATTTTGACATCGAAAATAAATTTTGAAAAATATCGGAATCGTTAATTGTCGGTTAATTGGGCTACAATAAAATACACATTTTAATTTTTCTTTCAGTGGAAAATTTCGTTGTCTCACTCTTTCTTCGCGTTAGATATTTTTCGGTTAAATTATGGTCACTAATTAGGCTGAAATTAGGAAACAAGCACTAATCACAATAGGGGTATCTAAAGCCATCTGCATATTTTTGCATATTCATAAATTTCCCCGTTGCCCTAATAACCCAATTTTTTTTAAAAACTAACGAGCGATTGTTGTCACTGACATCGCTTAAAAAATAAATCTTGCGCATCACTCTGTATATAGCAGTTGGCACTTTTGGTTGTAAACAACGCGCCGGCCGGTGGGGGCGTGGGGTGAAATTTGAGAATTTGGTACCGACTATACAAGGTGTTTCAAAAAATTTTGCAGCCGTTGGCATGGTTATGGGCCGAAAATTTCGTGTGGTTTGTTCACTTTTCGTGCGTAATTGCGCAAATGTTTTAGCAAGAGTAGGTACATTAAGGTGGCGCTTAATTCTGTTTGATCTTCGAGCAAATATTTTAGGAAGATAAGACGGAACGTTGTTATCTCTCGCGACGTGCGTCACGTCGGAATTTCTCTCACTTGGCGTGCGAGCCTTTTTTTTGCCTCCAAAATGGAAGAGCAAAAAACCTGCAGCGACTCGCGTGATTTCTCACAGACCGCCCTTTGTTTTGTTTGCGTAACCGAAGACCGGACCCGTTTTTTTTTCGGTCTCTGTAACCGTAGATAAATCGTTTAATCGTTTTTTAATTTGATGGGATCGTAATAAGGTGACAATGAGATGTCGATTGTTCAATGGGAACGCCACCGCCGCCAGGCGCCATGTGGCTTCTTTTTCCTCTCGCCTTTTTTTTCTCCCCCGACGGCTCGTTGTAAGTGGGTGGTCGTCTTAATTAATTAATTAATCGAATTAGGCTTTGCGTAATAGTAGAAATTTTGCGTTATGTAAAGATTTACGGCGAGAAACTGTGGAACTGAATGGTACGAAGCCATTCTAATTGTCTTATTATTTAAAAATGGTCGAAATTTATAATGCAAGCGGTCCGCTTTCGCGTAACGATTTTATTAATGTGTGTCTTTTTGTTTGCAGTGGCGCACGTGATGTGGGCAGCATGGGGTTGGGGGCGGCGTCCTCCCGGCATTTTAACTCCCCTGCTCTTCGTGCTACGCTGCCTCTCCCAAGCCCTCGCCACCGGTTTCCATCGTTTCCTAGCCAGGTTTTCAGGTTAGTAACCTTTCGCCTAGATTTCCTTAATTAATTAGCATTAATTAGCGACTTAATTTTTTTGTAGTTGTGCGATACCGAGCGCGCGCGTTTACCCTTCAAGTAAATAACGTTAACCGGTTATCGTCCGCGAAAAAATTATAAGTGAAAGCAACAGTTACCTACGTTCCGCTATTTTGATTAGGCGTGAAACGAACTGTTTTATGAAATAATATTTAATGACGACGGCGGTGGTCGTTAAACTTCTCGCGATTTGGCAACGTCGCGAATACTACGGCTTTACGTTCAAGGACGCCTCCCCCCCGTGTGTTTATTTCCGGAGGTGACATGAAAATTTCGAACGCTCAAAGAGCTACACAAATTCGAATTAAACGCGGCACGCGTGAGCGGTTGCCACCCACTCACGACCACAATTGGACACTTCCTTCAAGAATTACCACGTACGTAAAATACCTACTCATATCCATCCGTGGGACTTTCGAGATGTTTACTTATCAATTGTTTCACTCGCCAAAAAATTGTTTCGTCCAGAAAATGCCAAATTACTACTCAAAACATAGAGCTGCTCGAATTTTGGATTATGGAAAATTTGAGCGATTCGGTAAATTAGATCGGTTGGCAACGTTGCAAATTATTGCTTCAAATGAGTAGACTGATCTAATTTGAGAGTCTGATACCTTAATTAACCAATTAAATTATGGAAAATTTTGTTGCAAATTAGTGCTCAAAAATTAGTACCTAGAGCTGATCTAATTTGGGATTCTGATACCTTAATTGACCGAATAGGTTTTGGAAAATTTGAGCGGTTCAGAAATCAACTAAATTCACCCTTCATAAATTAAAATGCAAATTAGTGCTCAAAAATTAGTAGAGCTGATCGACTTTCGGATTCTGATACTTAATAATGGTAAATTTGAGCGGTTCAGTAATTAATTGCATTTAACTCGTCAAAAATTAAGTCGATTGCAAGTTAGTGCTTAAAAATTAGTAGGGCTGTTCTAATTTGAGATTTTAATACCTTAATTAGCCGATTAGATTATGGACATTTTCAGCGGTTCAGTAATTAATTAAATTCACTCGCTCATTAGTACTCAAATCGACTCAAATATTAGCAAATCTGATCTAATTTGGGATTCTGATACCTGATACCGAATAGGTTTTGGAAAATTTGAGCGGTTCAGAAATCAACTAAATTCACCCTTCATAAATTAAAATGCAAATTAGTGCTCAAAAATTAGTAGAGCTGATCGACTTTCGGATTCTGATACTTAATAATGGTAAATTTGAGCGGTTCAGTAATTAATTGCATTTAACTCGTCAAAAATTAAGTCGATTGCAAGTTAGTGCTTAAAAATTAGTAGGGCTGTTCTAATTTGAGATTTTAATACCTTAATTAGCCGATTAGATTATGGACATTTTCAGCGGTTCAGTAATTAATTAAATTCACTCGTCAAAAATTAAACCTATTAGCAAGATTGCAAATTAGTGCTCAAAAATTAGTAGAACCGGTCTAATTTGGGATTCTGATACCTTAATTGACCGATTAGATTATAGAATATTTGAGCGGTTCAGTAATTAATTAAATTCACTTGCAAACAATTAGTCGAGCTTACCTAATTTGGGATTCTAATATGTACCTTAATTAACAAATTTGAGCGGTTCAATAATTAATTAAATTCATTCACCAAAAATAGGTCGATTGGCAAAGGTGCAAATTAGTTTATCTAATTCAGGATTCTGATGCGTTAATTAACCGATTATGTTATGTATAATTTGAGCGGTTCAGTAATTTATTAAATTCACTCGTCAACAATTACTACAAGATTGTCTCATTGGGATTCTGATATCTAACCGATTAAAAATTTGAGGTCCAGTAATTAATAAAATTTAATCGATTAGCAAGGTTGCAAATGAGTGCTCAAAAATTAGTAGAACTGCTCTAATTTGGGATTCTGATACCTTAATTGACCAATTAGATTATGGAAAATTTGAGCGGTGAAATAATTAATTAAATTTACTTCACAAAAATTAGTAGACATGCTCTAATTTGGGATTTGGTACCTTAATTGACCAATTAGATTATGAAAAATTTGAGCGGTTCTGAAGTAATTAAAATCACTTGTCAAAAATTATATCGATTTAAAAGATTGTAAACTAGTGCTCAAAAATTACTAGAGCTGGCCGAGTTTTGGATTCTAATAATAAAAATCATTTTAACGCACTCGTCAAAAATTTGATCTATTTCTCGTACCTTATTTAACCGATTAGATTATGGAAAATTTTGAGCGATTAACTAATTAATTGAATTCAGTCGCCAAAAATTAGATGGAGGTTGCAAATTAGTGTTCTAAAATTAGTAGAGCTGATCTAATTTGGAATTCGGGTAAGTTAATTAATCAATTACATTATGGAAAAATTGAGCGCGTTAGTAAGTAATTAAATTCACTCGCCAAAAATCGATTGACAAGGTTTCAAATTAAGTAGTACACCTAATTTAAGTTGGGTTTTTGGTACCTTATTTAACCGATTAGGTTATGGAAAATTTGAACGGTTCAATAATTAATTCAATTCACTCGCCAAAAACTATGATTGTGCATTTTGAGTACACTTATTTAATTAAATTTTCTAATTATCCAGCGTCATAAATCTACGTCGTTGTAATTTAATTGCTTGAGTATCGCATTTGAACCTTAAATTTTTGTGTTCACCTCGTATATTATTTATTTCGTCGATTTGTTAAAATAATGTACAATTAGACAGGCAATTAAGCAGGTGCTCAGAGCTGTTGTTTTAGGCACGAATTTCGGATTCTGATACTTTAATAATGGTAAATTTGAGCGGTTCAGTAATTAATTGCGTTTACTCGCTAAAAATTAAGTCGATTGGCAAGTTAGTGCTTAAAAATTAGTAGGGCTGTTCTAGTTTGAGATTTTATTACCTTGATTAGTCGATTAGATTATGGACATTTTCAGCGGTTCAGTAATTAATTTAATTCACTCCACAAAAATTAGTAGACATGGTCTAATTTGGGATTTGGTACCTTAATTGACCAATTAGATTATGGAAAATTTGAGCGGTTCTGTAATTAATTAAAGTCACTTGTCAAACATTATATCGATTTAAAAGATTGTAAAGTAGTGCTCAAAAATTACTAGAGCTGGCCGAATTTTGGATTCTGATACTTTAATTATGGAAAATTTGAGGGAGTTCAAAAATCATTTAACTCACTCCTCAAAAATTTGATCTATTGTCAACTCAAAATTTAGTAGAGGGTTTCACGTACCTTATTTAACCGATTAGATTATGGAAAATTTTGAGCGATTAACTAATTAATTGAATTCAGTCGCCAAAAATTAGATGGACGTTGCAAATTAGTGTTCTAAAATTGGTAGAGCTGATCTAATTTGGAATTCGGGTAAGTTAATTAATCAATTACATTATGGAAAAATTGAGCGCGTCAGTAACTAATTAAATTCACTCGCCAAAAATCGATTGGCAAGGTTTCAAATTAGTACTGCTAATTTAAGTTTGGGTTCTGGTACCTTGTTTAACCGATTAGGTTATGTAAAATTGGAACGGTTCAATAATTAATTAAATTTACTCGCCAAAAACTATGATTGTGTACTTTGAGTACACGTATTTAATTCAATTTTCTAATTATCGAGCATCATAATTAAATGAAACCACGTCGTCGAAATTTAATTACCTTAGCATCGCATTTGAATTGTAACATTTTGTGTCCACTTCGTGTATTGCTTATTTTCCCGTAGAATGTGAATCTGATTCTCAATTTTTCAGGGCGCGTAATTAATTAGCGCTGATAATTTGGGTTAATTTTGTAATTATCCACCGTCATAATGAAGTGAATATATTTCACTGTAATTTAGTTGCTCGAGTATCGCATTTGAACCTTTAAATTTTGTGTCCACCTCGTACATTATGTATTTTCCCGTGGGATTTGAATCTGACTCTGTAATTTTCAGGGGGCTTATATAATTAGTGCTCGTCTTGATGAATTAATTAGCATCTGCCAATGATGGTTGGCAATATAAATAGATTTTGATTTGTTAAAATAATGTACAATTAGACAGGCAATTAAGCAGGTGCTCAGAGCTGTTGTTTTAGGCACTGAGTAATTTGAATTAATTAATTGGAATTGTCAATTATTCGGGGTTATTGCTAGTTATTGCTTAATTAAGTACTGGTGACAGATTAGGTGTGGATAGTAAGGGACCTATTTGGAATACATCGCGTATCGTTGGACAGGATTGTTGAGGAGTGGGGGGGTTGATCCCCCCCCCCCCCCCACTTATCCGAAGAGGAATTTTAAATATCTTTTAAAATTGTGTCACGACGGTCCATTTAAAAACGAAAACGTGACAATCGCCTGAAAATAACACGGAAACAGGCTTTGATGGGTATCCCGATCCTATTAATACAGCGAAATCCGACAAAAGTTATTTTTAGGGGAAATCTTGGAAACATTCCAACCGAATCTCTGATTCATAATTTTCTGCGTGCGTCCGCAATACGCGAAGTTATTGGCCATTTCGCACCTGTTGATTGACGATGCGAATATCGCGATGTAGGTATATGGTGGTGTCGCGCCAGCGGCGTAACGAGCGGGAGGGTCAATTAGTTATAGCTGCCCGTAATTATAAGCGGCCGTCACGTCCGCAAAAATTGCACGCTACACCTAATTAATTATTCTTTAGAAAATCTTCCTCTTTAACTGGATCCCATTCAGATGTCAACCCGAAGACACATCGCCTTCGCGCGTTATTTTCATTTCGTTTGTTTGCGCTCGCTGAATCGGTGCATGCAAGTTTCGGTTGACGTCACCGTTTGGTCCGCTTTTCGAAACCGAAAGTCAACGACCAAAAGGTGCAAAAAAAAGTGGTGCAATTTCTTGCGGAGGAATGCGCTTCACGAACGGGGAGTGGGTGGTCCGCCATCTGTCTAGCGCTACCGGCAAGGACGCGAGGTATTACCGAGTCTAA